TTTCGCAGGAAGTTGCCTTTTGGTGTTTGATAATCTCCCAATACAGAGATTTAATGAGAACAGAGTACTGTAACTCAACAACACCAACTAAACAAACATGCACTACATTGACTCCAGTAGCAGGTCTCATAGAGCAATTTCTGAGTCAGTAACAAAATTTACTTTTGCAAAAGTGCGAGCAAGGATGTCGGGTGCACGGTGTAGAATGATGAAGGGAAAATAGCAAACCCTTCTTTGATTTGATCCTTTGGTTTCAGCTCTCTCGCTTACTCAGAAGCTAACCTTTCTTTTTCTATTATTTTGGGTCTATATATATCTGACATTGACCTGAAGACTAAAGATTCGACTTCTTAACCTGACCTCTTTCTTCGTAACTAACCTCCAACTCCATTACTGTGTAGGCTCAGGAGACGGCTACGATCCAAAACTACCTTCGCAGGCACCAGCACGCTGTTTATCAGCAGCTGCCACCGTGACCCAGCAGCTTGCTCGGTGCAGTCGATGTCAAGCTCCGTGGCCGTCAACCAACCAGGACACTTAAGTAGTAGGCGTCTTTGAGCTCCTGCAGCTTGTGTAATTTCCCACGCAGAGGTTTGGGTGCCCTGAGACTCCGGGAGCCGGCGGTGCCCGGACTGCACTGGAGATGCTCGATGTCGATCGCTGAATGCAGGGGACGGAGCAGAGGGCCCTCTGCTTGGTCCAGCGGCCGGCCACCGATACCGCAGCCGCAGCCCCAGGGACAGGATCGACGATGCTTGTAGCTTCCCATGAAACTGATGATGAGATAAACATGCTGCCATGTTCGTGTATCATTCCATTCAGTTTCACTTACATGAACGAGAGAAATAAAAGACTTACATGAGGGGGAGACACTGTAACAACTATCCAGTAAAAAATAATTAATTTGTCTTTGGGCCTAATGGGCTTGGAGAAGAGAAAGCAAGGGCCCAATTAGAGTCCAGTTAGGAAGGTTAAGGGGTTAGGAAACAAAATAGAAATTCTACCGTAACCTCTCCGTCTCCCTGCTACAGGTCGATCCAATCTTCCCGGTTTCACGAGTGGTCGGAGGCGGCGCTCTCCATCTCGTCCTCCCCATCGCTAGGGCACGCCATCCTGCAGGTGCGTGAGATTTTTCCTCTACGAATCGCCAGAGAGAAAGGGGGCTGCTGCTGCTTCTCATGGCTCTGTCCTTGCTTCGTTATCTGCAGAGTTGTGGTGTGCAGGGAGGACAAAGGGCAGGGTACGTAGCAGTCCAGGGATGAGTGTGGCTTGAAGGACGATTTTGCTTGTAGGTAATTGATAAGTCGATTTCCCTTCTATTGCTCACGTGTAGCCTCTGGTTTGGGTCTGGGCACCACAAAGGAATAAACAGAGATCATGTTCAGGTTAACTGAGTAGATCAGATCAAGTTCGTTTTTATCTCCTTCTTTCTGTTTCTTCTTTAGATGAACCATAGGTTTGAATCAGAGGTCTGTAGACTACTACTTTATCTACGATATCAGAAGTGTAGCAGTTGAATATCTAAGAACATGTGGATTTTCGAAGTTACTGTTGCAAACTGTTTCAGATCTGAGTGAAAACATTGTGGCCCAGATTACAAATAGAAGAAGGCCGAATTAGATTTTGTGGTGCATAACAAAGTTGTAGGGAATTTTAAGTAGATGTTTTTACTGCATTCGATCATTGCATTTGCTGTTGTATAGAAATAGTTATGAAAATAGCAAGTTCTGCTCTGAGTTTTGTATTTGACTGTCTTGCAAGGTGAATTCCTTTTAAGGTATCTTTTGCAATTAGAAAATGTGGAGAGTGATGGACTAAGCATAGAGACGTGTATTTACTCTTAATATGTTATGCATGATTTATTGAGTAGATCCATATATTTATTTTTTTATCAGGAAGTGCGCCAAATAACCACTCTTAGACGTGCTTGTCGAGGTTGTTTTTTTCGGTGAAAAAGGCAAGTGACGTAGGGGTGTGGCTAATGCTATGCTTATATTCATGTCTTGCATTCTTTTTAAATAAAATACAACAAGACTAATAATATAGTTTACCTTTATTCTTGCTTATGTATATATCGTTTATGGATTTATTTATCATGTCGATGCTGCTTGTTGCTATGAGATGATGGTTGCAGATTATTATATTATAATTGTTGCACTATGGAGTTATGCATACATGATCATTCATATGCATATATATGCATTTCATATGGAGTTAATGGCCGGTCACCGCCATCGCGCAGTGACTAGCACCGGTACATGGAGTTGCATGAGAGGTTGGCATTGTCCAACATTAAACACTCAAATGGAGTTGCATCATGGCATATATATACATTTTATGCCATTTGCAGAATATGGAATTGCAGATTACTGATCCTCTGAGTGGTTGGTTAATGGTTGACATAAGAAAGTTGAGTACTTCAATTATTCATCGCCCCCTAACATGGTTCCTTTTCGGTTTAAATCTTGTTAATCAAATACTTGATGTTTTGGAGAATATCAATACCATGATGACGTGGTACTCTAGTCCTATGATAATGTATGAAAGTCGCCACAATATGAACTGCACAATTTATTTGTCCGTTTACTTTCCTTATAATTATGGACGTTCATATGGCTTTTCAAAATTAATAACTCAACACGTGTAAGATATGTGTATATTCATAGCCGCTGCTTGTTGAGTTTATCTCACCCCCTTTGTTCTCTTCCAGGTGATTAATGATGAATGCTGGCATGAAGGGGATGGGACTAGCAACACGTCTTGCACTCTTGTATCATAACATAATAATTGTAGAATTATGAAATAATAAAGATAGTAGATGTTATCTTTTGTATTTTTAAACATAATAATCCTGCGTCTCTCCTCCCCTTGTATAGTTTGCTTGTTATACCACGTGTATCTTCTTATTTACATGTTTTTTTCCCGCTTGTGTTTCTCTTTTATTTAGAGGTTGCCGAAAACTACGAGTTCAGCAACTTTGTAGAGTTGTGTGGTAGCATTCCAGGGTTGCATGCTACCTGGGGTGTGACAGAGACAGAGGCAAGGCTCCTGTCATTCACTAGCTGACAGCTCAGAGCCGTGATGACAATTCAATGGTTGATGATCCCTGATTACAAGGTAATTTGGTTGGCAAATGTTTGGCTCCAAGCATCACTCCTGTATGGCAATCAGCGCATCGAAATGCATCTTGCCACAAATCCGACCGACCTCCTTCTAGTTGAATCAGTCAGATGCATCTGGACACAGGTGTGGCCTCATTTCAGTTGTCAAGTTGTTGAATGCATCTGGCACTAGAAGGCTCCAAAGCTGTGGAAGAAACCAAATTGGCATGAATGAAAATAGATTGTAGATTTATCTGATTTTTGGCCTTATTACACCCAAAAGCAGCATGCCAGCATACAAAACTGATTTTGATCTCATCAGTAGGCAGCAGCAATGCTATTTTCTTCCGCCTGTTCGACACCAAAGCGACACCTTAACATGTCGCAGGAGACCATGGAAGCTTCTCATCCATCTTTGCCTCTGCCGACCACCACAGCTCCACCAGAACAGAGGATCCTCTACCAACCCAGGCGCAGAGCAGCAGCATCTATCCAGGAAAACATTTCGACCTGTTTCACCCATCTTTTTTAAGAATATATTGTCATAATAAAATAGTATTATGTCAGTTTTGCATGGACAAAGTTTCACAAGTGTCCAGTTTTTGTTTGACATTTGAGAAAAATATTATGGTTTCAGGATTGTGTCTGCTATTTGTAAATTCAGTGATCAAAAGATATTTTTTCCACTGCCCACCTCTGAGGTTTCAATAGCCTTTGAGATGTGGGAAAAGCAAAGAGCACAAAATTTGCATTGTCGCATGATTTTCAGCTGTCATGGGAGGACTGAAACCATTTACTGCTGAACTTGCTTTCCTAAGAGTGCAAACTGTTTGACTAGAAAAAATCATACACAGCATCCATATTTCAGTAAATCTTCTGAGATTGAAACAACAAGGCAGGAGTATATTAAACATATTCACTTGATTGAAAACATATATACGGTTATTGTTACACAAAAAATAGAAGGCATTAATAAGGGAAAAGTGCATAAATAATCGAACAAGCATCAAATCAGCAAGTAAGCAAACATTCTGAGTATGTAAAGGGTGGGAGGCACGTGCAGAGGTATTCATTCTTTAGAATTCAGAATTGTAAATATATAAAGAGAGAATCCGAAGGATAGAATAATGGACAATATGAAGAAGTGCCCTGCATAGTAGATGAAAACAAGCGGGTTGCACTATTATGCATTATTGGATTGCAGGGGAATGAGTATATACAATTATGTTCAACGTAAACAGAGCATACTTTATGAAATGTGGTTATTACCTTGCCTAGAAGACTAGAAGTAGAGCAATCATATTTTCTCAGATCCAAGAGACATGGGAAGGCTGAAACCATTTATTGCTGAACAGGCTTTCATAAGAGTGCAGACCATTGATTAGAAAAAAAAACATACAGCAGCATCCGTATTTCAATAAATCTTCTGAGATTCAGAACTGCAAGGCAGGAGTACATTAAACATATTCACCTGATCGAGAACGTATATAGGTTATTGTTACACTCGAAACAAAAGGCATTAATAAGTGCATAAATAACTGGGTCAAGCATCAAATAAGCAACATTCTGAACATGTAAATACCTGTATGACAGTATGAGACTACAGAGGTGGTTTCACAGGCACTTACCAGTTTGATGTATAGGGTGGAAGGCATGTGCAGAGATTCATACTTTATTATAATTGAAAATTGTGACTAGATAGAGAGAGAATCCAGAGGACAATAATACACAATATGAAGAAATGCCCTGCACAGCAGATGGAAACAAGCGGATTACCTAGAAGAAAACATCAATTGTGGCCAAATAAACGAAACAAGAATGACGGAGGTTTATGGGGTTAGGGAGAAGCAAGGGAAATTGATGGGTGGGAAGTTCCACCTCTTTGTTACCTTGGGTTTGTCAGACTTCGACTATTGGAATGATATTTATCAACTTGCGGCACTGTCTCCTTAGCTCCTCGCTTCCGCTTTCACGGACATTTAAATATCGCAGGGAGCTTGGAAGGTCATCCACCTTGGGCAGTGACTGGATTTTTGGACATTCTCTGATATACAACTCTTGCAGTGAACTTGGGAGGCCCTCCTTGGGCAGCATCTGGATTGCTCCGCACGCCCAGATGTGTAACCTCTTGAGGTTGGGATGTCTAGGTAGCCGTTCAGGGAGGGACTGCAGGTTGTGGCAGCAAATAAATGTGATATCCCCGAGGGAGTCGACAAACAGAAGGGCCTCTTGCTCCTCTGTGAAGCTCTTCACCTTGTAATCCCCACAAATACTCAATACGGTGAGCGAGGAAAAGAGCAGGCTATGACGAATGGCCGCAGCAGTGAATCCAGACACATCATCTATGTCGAGCCTCTGCAGTTTTGAGGAACAGGATGGAATCTCCTGTTCGGAATCAACAAAAAAATTGGGGTTTCCTCGAACAAATAATTCTTTGAGATGGCCTTGGGCGAGGAGAGACCACAATCCCTCGCCTCTTAAATCCCCACATCGGTATATGGATAAACTTGTGAGAGCAGTGAGGTTTGATAGAGGCAGTTCAGCCCCCGTGCCGATCGCTCCTGAAATGTTAAGGTGTTCCAGGGAGTTGGGCAAGGGGAAAGAAGAAGAGAAGGATGAAGACGAGTATGAGGACAGGAGCTCGGGGCAATCCTCGATTTCCAGCCTTCGGAGGAGCTTAGACCCCAGAGCCCTCCTCCTTGCCCAGTTCGTCCATCTTTGTTGCTGTCGTCATGTGGATTGGAGCCAAGGAGTCGCAGCTTTGGGCTGCCATGGATCTCCAGGTCCTGCAGTTGGGGAGGCAAAATCAATAGGCCATGTTCTGCTTCTTCTGATGCGACTATTACGTCGACATTTGCTCTTGCATCCTGCTGCTGATCCTCTTTGTTAGCTGAAGTTGTTGTTCCGGGCGTCTCTGTTGCGTGCTGTCCCCTCACATTCACAGCCAGCCCTGTTACCTTTGCACAGAACCACAGCTTCAGATCTGAGAGGTTTGGGAAGTAGACAAGTAGCTGTGTCAACTCTTTCCCACTAGCACTCCCCTCGCCCCTGATGGCCAGCGATTCAACTGGAAACTGGTATTTGACATGGCTGTCAGCTTCAACAAGTGGAAAGACATTACTCAGATAAGACATATGTAGGGTCCTTAGGGATGATAGTATTTGTAAGTAATGCAAAGTGGTAAGTAGATTGGCACCGATGACAGTACAAGTCCTCTAGTCCAGTTAGATTATGAAAAGCTAGCACATCCCAAACCGTGCTATCATTTGTATCCTTATTATTTCCCTCAATGGTCAAATAACTATATTCTTTTCCATAAACCAATTTATCAAGAGATGAAATTCCTGTTATTTTAATGTAGCACGGAGCTTCAGTCCAAGGAATGGGTGCAAATGACAATAGTTGTGGACATCTCTTAATCTTGAGCTCCTTCAGTCTAGGAAATAAATTGTCATTTGCATCTTTCCCTTGTTGACAACAACCAGCAGAATGCGAAAACGACAATTCCACAAGTTGAGAGCAATCCCTAATGATAAGCACTTCCAAATAAGGAAACAATTGACAAGGGCATGTACAGCCCACGTTTTCAACCCCGACAAGTGTATAAGTTCCAGCCTTCTCAAATTTCCAAACCTCTTCTCGGGGATATTGATTGAGATTTCCTCACGGGCACATTTACTAACCACAAATCTCCAATAGGTGGAAATGTTTTCCAGCTTTACATCATGTAGGCAGAGAGATTTGGACATTGAGTGAGAGGTTCATACTCACCATGAAGGGCAAGTGCCTCCTCAGTGCCCTATAATGGATAACTTTCGAAAGATTGCGATTTGGCTTAAGCCTTTCAAGAACATGTTTTTGGAGTGCAAAATCATCGGCATGCCAATTAATATTCCAACGTAGTATCAACTCATGTAAGTGGCTTTTCAACATCAATTTTGCTTCATCTCGCTTCTTCCGGTACATGAACTTTTCAAGACTATCAATGCACAAAGTGATCCATGGAGCTCTTCCAAATGTCCTATCCGCCTTAATTCAAAACCTTGATGATCTTGTTTGACCACAAATCTTCTCAACTCTTGTAATGATTTTAGTTTCCCAACCTCAGTGATGCTAGAGTGTATTGTATCATCTTGAACAAGAAGATGGCGCAATTTTACAAGGTTCTTGACATCTCTTGGTAGATCTATGATGTCACAAAGTGTTTTGCATCTAGGACCATCATGTGATGAAATCTAGAAATTTTATTGGGAAATCTGGCTTTATATTGAGAAGAACATTCAATCCGAAGGTAGCGAAGATGGAGTAGACTATAAAAGTTGCTGAACAAATATTCCAGATCATAGGATGCTTCTGATAGAAAAATAACACGAAGGGCCTTTGCTTCCCTAAATAAATCACCAAAAGCCTTCACAAAGCAACCGTGGTGTTTCCCAAATATCATCAAAGTTTGCAGTTTTTCAACTTTTAATCTTGTGTGCAATGTATTGATATCCTCCACACAATTTTTTTGTGTCAATCTATTGTTGACACTGGTATCATCTATGTTGATAGACAAGTGGCGGATTGATGTCGGGATTTGTAAGGAGCTCACTTGAGATTGAGTGTCTATGCTAAGGCATTCAAGTGATGAAACTTTTCGTGCTAATTCATGTAAGAGATCATGAATGATGTAACAAGTTCTTCCATCCTTTTCCCCTTCATCTTCCAAAAATCCATAATTAACCAACTCAGTCAAATGACTTAGCCCGATATCTTCAACTCTTTTACTTTCACCATGTGGTGAATAATGCAAAGCTTCTTGTCCTATCCAGAAGTTAATTAGCTCTTCTCCTTCAAATCTGTAATCTTGAGGAAACAAAGCACGATGAGGAGAAACACTGCTGAAGCCGAGGACGTAAGTAATCAAAGCTCAACTTCATGCGGGCATAATGTCATTCTTACCGTTGCTATGCTCCCATTGCTTACTTTCTAAGACTCTAGTCCAAATGAACCAAGTCAAGTTGGGTTTTCAACAATCTACCAACAGTTTTTTTTGCAAGAGGGAGCCCTTTAGTCTACCAGCTATCATAATCCCAATTTCAAGCAAGAATATATGGTCCTTTCTAGATTGATCATCATCACCAAAGATAATATTTAGGAGTAATTCCTCAAATGGTTCACTATCTAGACCTTGCAAATATATTGAATGATCATTTTTCCGAACCATTATGTGTGCTTGTGCTGGAAATCGAGTTGTGACTATAATTATATTACCCAGTACTTGTGATTTTCGGAATGGCACCAGCAGCCGTTTCCATTCATCCTCATCACAACAGTCCCATATATCATCTAATACAAGCAAAAACCTCTTATTTTTCAATCTTTGCCCAATCAACTCACTAGCAGCACCATTACAACTTTCATGATCATCTTTAGGGATATATCTTTGAATCTCTTCTATCAGCTTATTCACATTAAAGTTGAGTGAGACACATGTCCAAACTTTTACATCAAAATGTTTTTGCACCTCTCCACTGTGATATATATGTTGTGCAACAGTTGTCTTTCCTATGCCCCCTGGACCAATAATTGGAATAACTGTGAGGACCTCACCAGAATGTTTACCCTTTGTGATATCATCTATGATGCTCTTCACCATAAGCTCCCTCCCATACAGTTTTGGCTCTATACTTTCAGAGATGGTGATGGGGCGACTTTGTGCAATGTTTGGGGCAGTGCTCCAGTTAGAACCTAATAGTTTAATAGCACTAGAGAACTTCTTTTCAATGAGCTGCATTTGCTCTACAATATGTTCTATTCTTCGGGAGGCATTGTCCCTATCAAATCTCAACTTTGGTGGTTCATCATGAACGGATGGCAACTCTGGTGAATTGTTGTCATCATCATCATAGTTATAGTTCTCGTTGTTGTTATCATCATCATCATCATCATCATCATCATCATCATCATCATCATATTCACCATCATTATCATCATCATCATCATCATCATATTCACCATTATCATCATCATCAACATCATAGTTATAGTTTTCATCATCATGAAAAGATGACTGAGGTGAGCAAGGGGACACATTAAGGTCCAGGTTGTGGGCGCAACCTTCGGCATGCTGGCTGGCGTCCAGCATGTCTTGGATGTGAAAGTATTCCATCTCGTCCACCACATCCTCAGCGTCATATACGAGGTCTTGAAGCATCATTAGACAAAGGATTGCTCAAGCGCTGAGTTGTGTATCACCTGCCGAGGGTGGACTCAAGAATCGCCTTGACAGATAGCAGCTCTAGCCGGAGGGCCGTGACGCCTTGGGCCAAGGTTGATGGTGGCTGCTGCCGGTCCTTGAGCAAGTTGTCCTCTAAGGAAGCTAACGCCTTGTGCGCCACCCAAAATGATGCATTTCGTGACCCTTGATAACAAAGCGAACCATCCACACTTTCCAAAACTGGCTCGCGTTGTGGTTGGAGTGGTGCATTTTGCTGATTTCATTATGCCTTTTGTGATCCACGCTGGTCGGTGATCCATCAAGCCGTCCTCACGCTGCACATCCGGTTGCAGTAGATTCTTCCTGGCTCCAATCTATGAATAATTATGCAAGAAACAGTTAGACTTCATCGCACCTTAGCTTGTCACAGATATTAAAGGCCACAGAAATATACTTCCTGTGTTTTTTCTAAGGCGGCATACTATATATGTGTATGGGGATTTGAAAGTCAAGTAATATTATGTCCACCGCTTTTTTAGAGTAAAGTCCGATTCACCCCTAAACTAGTACTGAATTTGAAAGACCACCTTACTTAAACTTCAATGTCGATAAATACATATCTTAACTTTTAAAACCGGACAAAATACCCCTTGACCATTGCAAAGTGGTTTCTTTAGTGTTTTAGCTCTCTAATTATGAACATTTTTATTTTTCCCATTTTTTTAGTTCTCGGATGGAGAAATGCTCTATCCCTAATTTGTAGTGCTCAACATTTGAGATCATTTAGGAGTCCAAATGTTTAATAAAAGACGACATGGTTAAAAACTAAATACATGTGCGGCCCACATGTCACATATGACACATGAACTAAAACCAACATTGAAACCACTCTAAACTATTTTAGGGGTTATGATTTGTCCGGTTTTTGAAAATTAAGGGAGATGTTGTCACGGTATTTAGTTTGAGGGTGTTTTTAAATTCGATGTCAATTTTAGCGAAATCAGACTTTACTCTTTTTATTACAATACTAGATAATGCCCGATGCGCTTACCTAATTGTGAGCTATGAGGACTTTGTATTGGATGCGAATACATAGATTTTGTCTTTGTAATAGAATCGGGTCTGGACGAGAACGCGTGAGGTTTGAAGACTTAAATATCGGATACACGGACACATAGATTTGGTCTTCGATCGTAACCGGGTAGAACACGACCGCGTGTCAAGTGAAGTATGAATAGTGATCTTGACATGATCACTTGAAATCGATTAAATCCATTTTATAGTGCAACACCGTGTTCACCAACTGACTATCTAAGGTGAATTTGAAGGAATTGTTATTTGCATATGTCTACTTTAGATAAACTTCTTTTATCTTATTAAAACAGTTTTATTTGATTTTAGGAGATTAATTTATTTTCGCATGTAGAGAGTTTATTCCTCTAATTTGTCTGCATTAATATGTGCATGATCTGTTTAAATCGGTGACAAAGAAAGATTTCCGTGTGTATGAATATGTGCATGATCTTTTTGTTGTCATCAAAGAAAGCCCTGCTTGAATTCCTCTGTTTGAATATGTGCCTGATTTGTTTCATCGGCCCGTAATCGATTCTTTATATGATTTTCGATGTGGAAGAGTTTTTTTCCTAAATGTATTTTTTGGTCGTATATGATTTTTGATGTGGAAGAGTTTGTTTCGAAACAACTTTTTTTCCATATATGTCTTTTTTTTCGGAAACGTTTTTTTGCTATATAGGATCTTTTTTTCCAAACGGAACATGTTTTTTACGGTGGTTTTTTGCCGCATATGCTTTTATTTTGGAGTCTTTTTTGCCATATAAATGTATATTAGAAACATAAAAAAGGAACGTGGGTTTTTTTATGGTATATGTTTTTATTTTGGGAACATTTTTTGCCGTATAATAGATCGTTTTTTTATTGGGGACGGGCGCATACACGATGTACCTCTATGGACAAAAGCTCGTCGCGTTTTTTAAGTGTAATAGACACTATCAATACTTTGCTAAAAGAAATTAAACCCATAGGCAAAAAACAAACCCTTTGGTATTTTCAAATCCTATCATATAAAGGAAGTAAGAGTACCATAATATTATTTAAGTCATAATTATCACTACATTTTCTATCGAGATGTTATAATTTGCATACACAAATTAAAATTAAAATATCCAAATTACACCGTAGTAGTAATTAAAAGATATGCTAATTAATGATGAGAAGGATGGGTGGATAATAGCAGGATTGCTTTAAATTTTAGACAAATTTTAAATGCTAAAATTATGTACATTTATGAATGGAGGGGTACTACACCTGTTTCTAGGAGGTACTTGATGTGGTTTCACTTTTAAAGGAAATTGCGTTGATACACGTCATCAATCTCATAGCTTGTTTCATGCTGTGCTACATAGAATTTTAAATAATATGAAGGATAGAGATGAACATGAGAGAAATATGCAGTTGTTTTACAATTGAACTTAAGAGACAACCCATTGTATGGCTTGCCTACTAAGTCATCTTCATATTATGTGTTGTATGATGATTCAAATTCTACTTGGACTGGGACTCAAGAGAGGTGTGCTATTAGGGTTGTAATTCTATTATGACTTGAGTGTCTCCTGCTTGCATGTCTGAGAGCCTTGGAAGAGACTATATAAACAAGGTGCCATAGGTATCAACCAAGCCAACATAAGAGTTCCATCCAATGCTTGTAAGAAGCAATTAAGAGCACTCAAGAGGATTAGGCTAGACAATTTTATTGCACTAGATTCTTATAAAGGGCAAGAATCAGTATGTCCTAAAGTGTGTCAAGTTGAGCAGTAAGAGAGCAACAACCGCTTGTAGTCTTTTGGAGTTGTGCTTATAGAATTTGAGGTCGATTTAGGGTTTTCTACTAGATTCGTGTAAATTTTTCTTAATACGGTGCATAACGATGCCATACTCACAATATATCCTTTTCAAAGACCCGAGGGCTATTACACATAACTAGGGATACTATATTCTAACGTTACATGATACTCAATGAAACCACCTAGATAACATCAATATACTTGATTACCCTAAGGAAGCCTAGAATAATAAGGTGAGGCTTATATTAATCTAGTAGTGTAACCAGCGGGAACAATAATTTGCCATTATTATGCTGTACGATTGAATGTTCATCGTAGAAGTCTATAGTGTAAGATGATAAGAATAAAATGGGATTGTTTTTCTCTTCATCTTACAAAGTGAGCCTGGTGGTATTAAGGTTCTTATTTTTTTCTTAGAAAGTTAACCTTCATGTGATTGGTATCTTAAGAAATAGTTGAGCTGCCGGTTTGCATCTATAACTAAAAAACAATGAAAATGAAATGTTATTTATGGATATTTCCCACACATTATCTGTCGGGTTTCACTAAAGAAACATATCATTCATTACAAGCATATCAAGTGATTTTTTTCTTCTTAAAAAGTTAACCTTCATGTTGATTGGTATCTCAAGAAATAGTTGAGCTTCCACATTTGCATCTATAATAGCATATTCCAAAATTGTAGGACACTTTTCACGTCTAATATTGCAATAAAGTGCAGAAAGGGCCGCATACTCAATGGGATATAAGATACTCCCTCTGTCCCTAAATAAACAGATTCCTAGAGTTGTCTTAAGTAAAAAATTTTAAACTTTGACCGAATTTCTAAAAAAAACTGTCAAGATTTATCACATCAAATTATTATCACTAGATATACCATAGAATATATTTTCAAATTATTATCACTAGATATACCATAGAATATATTTTTATAATATGCTCATTTATTTCATAGATGTTGTTACTCTTTGCTATAAAGTTTAGTCAAACTTAAGATAGTTTAACTTGAACGGATTCTTGGAATTGATTTATTTGGAGATGGAGAGAGTATCATACCTGGTGATCTACCAGTAAATCTTCACCATTTTGAACACAACTTCCTTCTGCTGCATTAAGAATTTCAATTATATTTGATACATTTGGCCTTTTCTCCTTCTCAGGGTGCACACATTCCAAAGCTATGTTGATGCATTGTTTTACTAGCTGGGTATGTAGTTCTGGCGATGTATACTTGATGATCTTTCGAATCTGTTCCTCCAATTACTGAGCACCTACACAATTGCATATATAATAAGTGAGCTAGAGCGATAGTACACATGCAGAATATTCGTTACTTCATCTTATTACTTTCTCTGTGAAGTGCTGGAAAACTTCGGTGCTTTGGCCATAGTCTGGATAGTCGTCCTTGCAGCCTTTGAGTATCTCTATAATTATGACACCCAAACTGAATATATCTGCTTTCTTTGAGATTACACCCCTGTCTATGTATTCTGGTGCCATGTATCCCCTGCAGTAGACATCAAGAGTTTGAGATGGTGCAAGCATAATTGAGACCATTAATATATTACTAAGAAAGCAAACGGTATTTGTTGTGGGGTGTAGCTTACCTGGTTCCGGGGGGGATTTGCAGTTTTAGTGACAGTCTGGGATTTTTGTTCACCCAACAACCTTGACAAATCAAAATCCGCAATTTTTGGCATCATAGTAGCATCCATT